GATTTGTGTCAGAGATTTATTCCATCAAGATCCTCATTACAGATTCTGCTGAACCGTTTCTTTAGTTATGCATACAACGGCTGTTCTCTAGGCATGCTGAAAATAGGCCACACATACAGATGCGCTCCCTCTCGCTCTCCCTCCCTCGCTTCGTCTCTCACCCCTGCTCTCCTTCGCTCTATTCCTGTCTCTGTCTCACTCCTGCCATCTCTCTGTCTCTCTGACTTATCGGTGTGACTGAAACCCATTCTAGAAGTGAATGTGTCTGCACAGTCTACACAGTGAACAACTGTTGATTACATGTGGCTCTGGTGGGATCTGAGTGTCTAGATGATGCAATAATTACAGGCAGTACTTTTGAAGTCCAACTGTAATCCTGATTTATTATCACCCTCTATGTCTCTCAGTCTCTGTGAACAGTGGATAGATCTGTCTGAAAGAGCAGGCTGGCGTGGACTGATTCAGTCTGATATCATGAATTACAGCTGATTACTCTCCTAATCTTGTTTCTGCTCTAATACCAAATAAACAGCCCATGTGTTTACTACTGATGGTTTCTGGTAAATAATCATAATAATGCTATGATTCTTTTTTATTACTGCTGCTTTGGGGATTAATGAATGATAGTAAAACTGTGGCCATTTTTTACACAAGCAAAATCCAACCCCAGTTACATTTACTCTCGTTTTTTGAAAATGAATTGCCAAAATGATCTATAATCATATGCAAAGGTTTGGGTGCCCTGGTTCAGATTAAATGTTCTGTTGATTTTCTAAGTGAAACTAAGTTAGCACATTGTCTACAGAGAACACACTTCTGCAGCTGGCTCTCTGTAATGGATGTTTAACCTTATTTTTACTTAGAGAATCAACAAAACACACAGTTTGATCATTAGTTCAAATTTTAGCATATGATTGTATGTCCCATGTAGGGATGGCTTAGTTTCAAAATATTGCTATTTGGCCATTAAGTATAGGTTTTTTTCAAAAATTAACTTCTGGGGAGATTAAATATAAAATAATCCACTTACATAAGATAAGAAAATCAGCAAAGCTGAAAACACAGCTTTTAAAACATTTCAAAAATTCTTAGCTTTCTTAACTCACAACCATGCAAGACCTGGGAGACCACCACAAGTCATTATAGAATCAACTTCTCATAGAAAGAACAAAAAGACTTCAAAAACAAAGAAGCTACTGGTGTTGTCAGAACAATAGACTGACCACCCCATTGTCCAGACCTCAACATCATTGAATGTGTTTGGGATTACTGGGATTGTGAGAAGCAGATGCATTGCAGCCAACTTCTAAGACTGAACTTTGGAGGTGTGAAAATATCCTTGGAGATTTATGTGAAAGATGTTAAAAAGAAATAAAGGCAAAGTGTGGACACACTAAATACTGAAGAATTTTGTAATGTAATCAGTTGTTGAGGCTTCTGTGTAATTTTCTGTAAAATAGATTTTCTCCTTTTTCCTGATGCAGAAAGTGAATACAGTAATTAATACTTAATGGCCATTTTTACTAGGCATTAAATGAAACGGTGGTCTCGGACTTTGTGTGAATTACTGTGTGGAAACTTGCTTATGTTGTAGGTGCATGTGTTTCAGGGAGACTAACAGTAAGCTGCTTACTTCCACCATGACATTTTAAAAAGAGGGTTTGTGGTTATATAAATTAGTAAAATTTGAAACTGTATTATTCTTATTGAGTTGTATACTGTGTTCACACCAATAGGCCAGACTTTTTAAATGATGGCATTTTTATTCTTATTACTGTTGCATATAGATGTTGATCATAAATGTGCATTTAAATCTGGGAAACAAAAGAGGATTGCTGTGGCGGTAACTGTTGAGTGGTGTGAATGCAGATAGAGACAGAAGAAAAGAGAGGTGGTTGAAAACTTGCCACAGTGCTGTCAGCCATAGTCATTCCTTGTTCCTCTGCTTAACTCAACAGGTTGATCTCAGCGCAGAGCACAGTGGAGTGGACTGATACAGGCAGATATCATGAATTACAACTGATTGTTCTACTAATCTCATTAAGAATGTAATACCCAAAAACCCCTACTCCCATATGTGTTTGGTAAATATCTGATAAAAGTCATCTTAAAAATAAAGGCACCAAATGGAACCAAAAGAGTTTTTTGTAGAAGTGCCATAGAACTGTGTTTCTCAATCCTGGTCTTGGAGTACCACTGCCATGTGTGTTGTAAGCTGCGTTCCAAGTGCTAGGGCTGCGGTCCAGGTGGGCTGCATTTCTAGACCGCTGTTCCAATCAGAAGGATTCTTTGAATCCAGCTGAGAAATGCAGCCCACATTCTGGCAGTTTTCGAGGATGCTACTGGAGTATCCCTCATGGTCATCTGTCGAGCATAATCCTTTGTATGCGCGTCTGACTAAAGAAAGTTGAAGAGAAATCCTGGCAGATGAAACAAGCTGCTACACATTGTTTAAAAAAGGCCCCCAGTGACTTTAACTTGTACAATAGCATTTAATTACACACAGATTAATGTTTTGCCTGACATATTAAATCATTCACATTAAAAGTATTGTTTCCATAAATTTTTTGGGATGTTGATATCCGATATTTTCATGTACATATCTGCCAACGACGACACCGATACATGAACATCTATATATTATAGAGGTTGCAAATAGATCCACCGCAAATGAGCATTACAGTGAAATGTGACACATTTGTGGAAGGTTCAAAATAACAGTGGATGATATGGCAAATATATATCATAGAGGCGGGTGATAGGGCAAAAAGACGTTTTTATGTTTTCATATTTATTTTGTCTGACATTTGGTAAGTTGGAACAGGCACATTTAGTGACACATTTAAGAAATACTGTCAACCACCACTGTAAAGAAATTTGAGTTGGTAAGTGTCTATAGAAATGAGCATTTTACATCAAACCACTCTGAATGACTTTGTTTACATCTCAACCACTGAATTCCACATACATTTTGGAACATCTGTGTAATTCCTTTTTAAAGAATCAGCCACTGAAGGGTTCTTCTGTGGTTCTTCTTCTGTGGTTGTTCTACAGCATTGCTCCATTTGCCACCTTTTATTATAAAGCGTGTATCATTTTATGGATTCATGAATTGTAATGATGCTGAGGCCTTTTTACATGAGTAAATCCAGTAACGACATGAATTCCAAACTGATATGTCTTCCACTAGGGCTCATTTAGGAGGTTTACTGTCCAAATGATGGGATTTTCATCATTCATATTATTGTTCCATATAAGTGTTGCTGAAGAATGTGAGTTTAGACCGACAGCATGAAGAAGAATTGCTCTGGCAGTGTCCGTGAAACAGTGTGAATGCAGAGAGAGACGGAGCGAGCGAAAGATGGATGAGGGGACAGAGATAATACAGCTTGTCACCATGCTGTCGGCCACTTCACTGTCCGCTCCCCCGTCGCACTCCATAAGTTCCAGAGAGTTTGGACGGAGCTCAAGCCCGGCCCACATCTCAGGCTGGAGTGTGGCTCTCTTCCATTCTGTGTAAGCCTCGGCAGTGGACAGGAGGGACAGGCGAAGCGCCTGTCTGCTGGATAAATCTGAAAAAAAAAAAGCATTTGGCTGCATCTTAAGGCTGAAGAGTGGGCTCCGACTTTGAGGGCCAGCAAGATTAATGTTCCTCAGAGTTGCACAGTACTCAGCCCTGCGTTTAGTTTCCATACTGAAGCTAAAGCGTTGTGTGAGCACAAGCTTATTTCACTACCACACTCTGAGACAGAAAAGTGAACACATCTGTAGTAGTCCACGGAGAGCCCTGGTAAAACTGACCAGCCAGAACTCTGAGAGAATTCCAGTAGGGCGAGGATCTGACTGGCAGGTCCAGTAGGCCACTTTGCATGGCCTGTAATGAGGGCATGGGTGTGGATGTTTATCTGAGAGATGCAGTGGACAAAGCAACTAGCAGGTTAAATGAAAAAGGTTGATGAAAATGAGTTCCGTCAGACAGGAGGAAGCACTGTTTTGATTTACTGTCAGTCAGAGGTGAGGGTAGCATTTAAGACCTTGGCCCTATTGCCTTTAAAACGCACATGCACACTGTACAGTAAATAAGCATTTTTGCATATATTTAAGTGACTACATTAAATGAATACTAATTTGTCCATCTGCCACATCTGTAGCATACAAGCAGTTACCATAGACAGTAGTTTAATGTGTTGCTCAGGACTTAAAACCTTTAGACTCCATATACAATTACAATAGAAGCCAATGTTGCTTCAGCACCTCCTGTTGCCTTCTATTATAAATATGTTCTGAATCAATAGATGATCTGATCATATGCAAGTGCAGGCATTTTTTTTGCCTTTAAACTTAGGCCAATGTTCTGCCGAATTCCAGGCTGAGGATATATATACCCTTTGTACACATGCCTATGTATGTATAGTACTGTGCAAATGTAAGATAATCATAAAATTAGAAAAAGTTATAGAGAAAATGGAGCTTCAGAACTGTCACCATCAGATAAACAGTACTTAAAGCTTTTATCTTTAAGAGAAACTCAAGCTTCACTCTTGCTTCAGATCTGGAAAGAAGATCACGTCAAGAAGCAGCTTGTATACTCAGAGCAATAGACTGGTCACCCCAGAGTCCAGACCTCAGCATCATTGAATGTGTTTAGTATTATTTTAAGCAGAAAATTGACCCAATATCTAAGACTGAACATTGGTTGATTGGAAAAATCAAAGAGAAATGATCATAGTGGACACACTAAATACTGAGAATTTTTCATATTATAATTAGTTAATTTTCTGCTTTTTGTCTCTAAAAATGAATAATGTGCTTAATGGCTTTAATGACACTTTTGCACAGTACTGCATACATAAATATCACCAAATGCAATGTTTTTATTGTCTGATGTTGCTTTACAGGCATAGAATTCACTGCTATAGATGAAGCATTCATGCCTCATACATTCAATCACAGGGCCTATTTTTCAAAAATTATAACTTTGATGTCCTTATGTGTGACAGAGCCACAGTGCGGAGAGGGATGTCCTTCAGCACAGCCAGACCCAAGTGACCCTCAGCTGTGGGACATCGCCCTGGATCCAGGGAGAGGAAGCAACCCCCAAACAATCTCTGTCATCTGCCAGAGGAAGAATGCTTTTACAGGAAAAAGGCAAGCCTTAAACTTACCCTCATCCGTTATTGTGCTATGCGTATGTGGGTCTTTTTACTTTCATGTGGAATTTGTTTAAGTACTGCAAGGCCATACAAGCAGTGTTCTCCTTCTTAAATGATGAGAATTAAGCAACAGAGTGTAAAGCAGAGTGAAAAACACCCCTCTTTTCTGTTTGTCTCGTTGCTCTTATTGGAACAGCTGCTGAGACAACCTGTTACCTCTTACAGGTTGGCGTTTTGAATGAAGACAAAGTGCTGTGTTTTACAAACAATAAGTCAACCATATCTACTCTGAGCAAACATCAGAGACATCTGACTACAGTTTTGTAAAATAATTTGAGTTCCCATAAATAAATAAAAACATCTTAATTATTCAGTACCTAACACTGGATTGATGTAGTCTGCTCGTTCCAATACCACCCTTCCCTCAAAAACTAGATAAACAAGCAAAAGAAAACCCACAACAACAACATGTGTTTTGGGGACACAGCTTTTATAGACCTTAACATGTTCTCATTTGTAAGTGTGCTTCCCATTTATTATTAGCAAGGTTAGCGTTTTTAGGACAAATTTTGCCTGAAGCTACTTGTTGCTTCTAAAAACAACTCCAGTGTTAGTTGCCTCTTGAAACAGTGAGAAGAGGATCAGTGAAAATTTCCTCCACAGCAGGAATCAGCCTTTTCATTTGAACAGATTTTCGATGTATTTTTAAGACTTTAATCCATCTTTAAAACTACAAATGTCTTGTTAAACATATGCTTTATTTGAATATGAGGCTGAGACATGTGGCTTCACAGCTTTACATACGATTTGGTGTCTGCAGGGATGCGCAGTTATTAATGTAAAGAGATTTCCGTAAGTTATTTGGGCCATTGGTCTGTAGGGAAAATATCTGTTTGGAGAATCCTTGTCACGTTCTCAGCGCATAAATTTTTTAGGGCTGAAGCTAATGCTGTGATCAGGGCTGTTTAACCTTTTGAAACGACAAGCCATGCAGAGATGTAGGGGTATTAAAATTACTGGGTCGCCCAACTATTTGCATTTGCTAATGAATTAATCAGCAATGAGAGTTAGAGACCCAGTGATAGACATTGCTTTACTGCACTGTAACTTCATGTATATTGAGTGTCTCTGTCATCAGACCTCTGTAATGTCACTGATACAAGTGCAACTCTTTAAAATACTTAAAGGAGAAAAATTCAGTCACTGAGAACAAGAATGCACTGATTGTGATAATTTTTTTATGGGTGATTCCAGTTTGTTTACAGCAAACTGCATGTTTTTTGGCCAATTTTTATTAGGCTTTTTCATCCTGAAGCTCACACTGTGTGGGCTGAACAGACACTTGAAACACACTAGCACATTTCCAGTATTTTCTATTAGCCAAAGTTACAATATGAATAACATTTATTTTCTCTTTAATGGGCCAAAGGCTTTTTAAATGTTTCAATTTTAAATCAATCTTTTAAATAACATGAATCAAATGAAGTGCTTCATTGAAAATAAAAGCACAATTTAGCACAATGGACCTTTAGCACAATGACTTATGGATAATTATGCTTTGACATTTTGGTACAGGTGTAGCAGCAGCATTCATATACAGTGTGAGTGCACTTGCCTGCCTCAAGCTATTTACATCATAAAATTGCAACACAGGTCAGCAAAAAATAAAAACAACTGGCTGATTGTCAATTTTGTGTATGGAGCAAAAATCTGCTGATTCTGATCTTTCCTGTGTCCGGTTGTGCAACCCTGAACAAAGTCATTCAGAGCTGTTTGATGTGAAATGCACTGTAAAGGAACTTTACAAGATTTTCTTTACAGTGGTGTTGATAGGAGCCAGGGGTTGTGTTGCCTTCAACGCAAATCTATCCGTTTTATTTACCATCCAAAAGCACCAGTGAACCTGCTTGTGTCTTCTGGGTGACATATGGCTTTTATCTCCATCACTGTGAACACTTCTGACACTCTAGTGTGTTTTCTCTAGAATGGTGCATTTCACATTGTCTGAAGAAAATAGGTGGAAAAAAGTTTCAAAAAATCAAACAAGACATATTTTCTTTTCAAAATTCTTTAGCCATTAGGATGTAGCTAACACATAGTTAAATTCGCATTATGGAAGTTGTGTGTGTGCCTAAATTATTACACTCTGGCCTCAAGCTAGATTCAAAAACAGACTTACCTATGTGGCTTCTGACACTCTATGACATTCTGTTATCTGTAAAAATGGACAATAGTATGGACAAAATTTAGATTTGATTTATAAGACTACTACTGACTCAAAATCGGATAGCTACTTTAAGCTGCTTTAAAGGGTGTCTGTATATGTCGATGTGTATTAGAGTATCACATATTCCATCGCTGTGAATATCTGGCCACTAGAGTGTCCAGACCCTAGCAACAGAAAATAGCTCCAACTTCCACCTAGCACACTGCCCCTGCTCCCCCTCTCTATCTCCCGCAGGCCGACCCACTTATCTGTAATCATCCCTGATACATCTGTCCGTCATCCCGGCTTAAAGACCCGTGCGTTCAGTGCAAGATTAGAGCCGAGATCTCACGTCTTAGCCCCAGTATTAACCAACAAAGAGCCAAGCAGAGAGGATTCCCCCTGTGCTAAGAAACCTATGATACACACCAGGGATGATGGGATGGAAGTGGACCATTTGCCCTTCCACCCCTAAAGCCTTGATTCACCATTGAAAAGCTTTTGGTTCTCTGGCACAGCAAAGCCCAGTGTTTGCTTCACTTGGTCAAGTACTATTTATCTGACTGTTTACAGTCAAACACGTTATGATAATTTTAATAATGTCAACTCAAATCCTATTCTGTGCTTTTACCCAGTCATAGACCCTGAATCAAAATAATACAGATATGGTAGGTCAAGATACAGACTTCATGTACATAACTCACTCAGAAAATACCAAAGATGCATATAACTGTGCACATGTATTTTCTTACTCCACTTGTTTGTTTTCAGCCAAACATTATAGTGATTTTAATATTTCCTACAACAGTGATTTTAATATTTCCAATTGAACAGTAATACTGTACTCACTGTAACCCGTTCTTATAACATAAAGACCCTTATATCACAGATATAAACATTAATATGATATTAATATAATATTTTATATTAATATTATATCCATTAATATAATATGTAATATGTAATATATTCATGTGTGAATCCTCATCTCATTTTTTAAACATCCTTTTTAATGAGTCATCGACATAGGTGGCTATGAAAAATATACATTTTTATACATGTCAGTCACTCAACCCTAGGTATGAAATATCTGCATATTCCTCGAGGGACATATTCAACAGCAATTTGTGTCATCCAGATTTCCTGAAGATCATGGGAAAAAGAAAAATACATTTTCTGTTTCTTTTTTCTTTATTTTCAATGTCATTGTGATGTTGACTCATGAGGTCACTTTGTTCAACCCTATTACTTAAGTAAATCATTAGACTGTGTGTAATGTCATCATGCCATTGGTATGGATCCTGGTTACACACATTTTTTTCAGCAGTTTTTGCTAAATCTATGCTAAAAAATTCAAGCCTCAAAATTTAATGTACTTGATCATTAAATTAACAGACATTTTGCCGGTTGTTTGTGTGTTTATGAACCAGATGTTGATGTTTAGAGTGCTGTGTGATTTGCAGGGGTCTGCTGGAGGTCCTGCAGCTGGACTTTGAAACGCAGGAGCAGAATGACCAGTTGGAGAGCCAGATGATCACATTTCGTCTGGAGCTGCCTGGAAACATGATCCAGGACGAGGGCACCATGAGGATTTACACCGTCCAGAGAGACTATGTGGGCATAGTCCCACTCATTATGGTGAGCTGTGCGTGTGTGTAGAACACGTGTTCATGTATTGTTTTTTCCTACAGATTCCATGTGAGTATTACGATTGCGTGCAATATTTATGCCGCTCCCCTTAAGCTTTCTAATTTGTCCTTTTAGATGTATAGAATTGGTAATAAATCTGAAGTGAATGTGTGGCTGTTAATGCTGATGCTATGGGGCAGCTTGTACATAGATGTATTTTTCATTTGATGCTTCTGTATAGATGCCTTCAGCTATAAAAGTACAATAACCCATATAAATGATTCATAGGTCTCTGTGGAGCTGCGTGTCTGCATGTGTGTATATGTGGGTGGGGGATTATTTGCCCCAAGGCTGAGTTCCAGCTCTGTTGCCCTCTGCCTTTGATCTGACTCTGTCGTCCCTAGTGCTTCTGATTCAGTCTTAATGAAATTGACATCCATTTAAGGGTTACTACTGTGGTCAGGATTAGACCTGTCCACTGCAGAATGTATGCCTTGAAGACCTGCATGGATTTTCTTATTTTTACTTATCCCACATTAAACGTAATCCAATAATAAAGGTGCCAAGAGGGTTCTGTGGAGCGATGACATAGAAATGTTCTTCAAATCCTTGAATATTCTGGTCCAGGATTTTGTCATCACCGGTACGTATTACACTAATCGGCCAGTCAGTGATTATAAAGACCAGGATCAGAAACTGAATTCAAGGTCATTTGAAGAACAGTGCTACAGAAGAACCACTTTTGGTTCCCTAAATAATTCTTTAAAGAATATTTTTTTGTAAATGTGATGTGTGAATGTGAAGAGCCTTTTCAAATTTTAAACTTCCACATAATGTAAAGGTTCTATCCCTGGGGTCTTCATATCTGAACCTTGGATCCAGCTTCTGGTCCAGTGTTTTGTGTTCACTAGTAGCTAATTGAACTATTGATGTAACTGAACGGTCACCTCGAGTTAAACCTACCAGTGAGTGCAAAATCCAGAACCAGAAACTAGATTCAAGATCTGGCTTTCAAGACCTCTGCTTTATACCAATTAAAGATCTTTCCTACCTCCAAGCCAAGGCACATTTAGTAACCTATATTTTTAGCAGTGTATGACCCCTTCTATGAAAAGATGACATTATGATTTGTCATTTCAGTTCAAGTATTTGAGCTAAAATAGAAAAAGATAGGAATTTTGAAAAATGCCAAAGATCATGAGAGGTTGTTTGTAAAAACCAGCCACTGTGGAGCACAATGCTGTTTCTGAAATCACGTTGCTCTCAGGAAGCAGGATTTTGTCTTTAACTTTTCGAATCACGGTCAGCATCTGTTGTGCTGTGTACAGAGGCTGCCGAATGACATCTGGTGGGGCTAAAAGTTAAATCTATGCTCAAACCTAATCGGCAAGCACATCAGTCACATGTGTGATGCACTGCAGCAACATCGTTAGAGAGTGTCAGATGCAAACCCCTGTTTTACACACTGCTGAACATGTTTTTAAGACAGGAACAGCTCCACAGGGGGTTGCCTCCACACACCAGCCACTTACCACTGACTTTAGATGGATAAAAATGAGGTCTTGTAGGCAGATACATGATACAGATTTATAGCTTAAGGTTTTTTTTTTTTAGAAAGTGCATTATACTTCTGTCAACGTACAGAAAAGGTACAGTAAGCTGGTATGGTGAGGATTTAGTCAAGTGAATAGACACTTGTACTTGTTGTGTTTCATCACAGGAAAACAAGACTAAAATGTTACAGTTATATTCATGAGTAAGTGTGTATATTACACTGTTGCATTCCGAAACACCAGTGCCTAAACATGAGCGCATTGCCAAGGACGCATAGTTAAGGAGTGGCTGAGAAGGCCACTTATGCGAAGAAAGACATTTCTAACATTTTTGTGGTTTTATTTATCAAAAACGGTAATACCTCTTTAGCCCTTATGCTGCTGACACCGAAAAAACTCATCATCCCATGCTTCATAACAGAATTGCTGTAAATGGCGGCAGTGTGCAAACGACAGCAGTATGCATCTATGGAAGACCAGATTTGCCAAATTGAAAAAAAAATAAAATAAAAAAAAATGGTTCAGTAAATTAATCAGTAAATTAAAAAAAAACTAAAGTATACATTGCTTATTGTGATTGTAATTATACACATATTTCCTTTTTTCTGCAGTTATATATTTCTCAATTTATTTATTTCTGTATTATGTATTTTGTTTTATTAATGCCATTTTTTGTGTATTTTTTTCCGTATCTATATTTTTAACAGTTGTTCACTTTATTCATTGATTCATGTATTCATCATCAAATCATTTATTTATTTCTGTATTTCTTTATTCATATGATAATAAGGGGGCATGTTTTTCACGTTCAGGCTTAGCAATCAAGACCAGGAGGAGAAGAGCTGATTAAATTGTTCTTTCACCAACTCCATGAAGAACTGCAATGCCACAGACAGACAGACCTGCTGATAAATAACTCTCGATGGCTTCCACAGGCTGTATGTGAGAAGGGCATCCAAATGTCTGTGTGATCTGAATTTTGCAGAAAAAGATGATGAACCACCTCCTCCAAAGTTCTGAACACTACGGGGTCGACCTCTGTATCAGCAGAGGCAACAAAATGGAGCAAATTGTCCGCCACATCCTCCACACAGAAGAGTGAATAATCCGGACCTGCATTTTCAGTCAGATCAGCTAAGAGTCTCAGCTCTTTGACTGTCTGCTGCCTGTAAGAAGCCATTATTGTACTGTCTTGTCCTCAGTTACCGCTGAGAGAGCAAGACATGTACAATCGATCTACAGAATCTGATATCCATCAACCAATAGGAATATTAAGATGCTGTGACATCATTGACTGACAGCCTCTTTATTAGCATAAGGACAAGGAAATGCAGAAATAAATAGAGAAATAAATAAATATAGAAATCAGTAGTTATGGAAATAAATGAATAGAAAAACAGAAGAAATGTTAAAGAAACATAAATACAATGTTAAAATAAATACAAAAATTAGTGAGAAGGGGAAATTACTAAGTAGACATATAAATAAATGCAGACATATTAATTTATATAAGATTTTATTTATTAATATATATATTGGTATGTATATTTATTTATTTTTAGATTTAGCATCATTATTCTTTGCAATTCTACTTCATATATTAATTTACTAAGTCATTTATTTTTAATTTTATTTACTTTTCATTTTGGCAAATCTGGTCCTCCATATGCAGCCATGTCAATGTTGTTATTACTGGAATAGCAGTGCCTTCCTGCAAATGTGCAGGGTGATGGTGTTAGCCACTGTTTTACCCTAGAAGGGTTCTAAACATAATAATATTTTAATTTTGTGTTGAATGAGTATGCCAGTATGCCTGGATTTCAATTACAACTGTTCATTTTTTTAAAATCAGCATCTGGTTTACTTCACTGCTCTGGCTCATGGCAAAAGACAGGAAAATTGAACTCCTGATGGAACTTTCCACTGACCACTGCAGTAGGCTACTGTTGTTGCTGGCGGTGACAGAATTTTCCATCGCTGCTAAAGTGAAAAGCATGAAATATCTGGTTTTATTACTGTGTCTTTAAAGCTAAATGATCTCTGTTTTGCTTAGATTAAACGAAGCACACCGCATTCAAAAAGCAGTCTGGACTGAAATGCACCAAAGAAACTGTTCAATTTGGACTGCAATCCTCAGGGAAGTTAGAAAAAATAAACTTCAGATACTCCTTGCAAAGACATTTCCTTTGAAAAGCTTCAGTGACACATTTAACAGAACAAGGTTTAATCGTTTTCTTAGCACCAGTTACTCTGCTAAAGACTATCTGCTGTAAAAGAAAGGCCTGAAACATGTGAATGTGTTTGGTTCTGACATCACAACTATGATGAATTTGAGACAGGCAGTTTCTACAGCTTAGTTTACATATCACTGCTGTCGGAATAAAACCTTGTATCTCCATTTTGTCGTTTTTCAGTTTTTGACATAATTTGAAAATTCCTGTTGCCCTTTACATTGTTTGTAAATTTCATCATGGATGGACCAAAAGAAACGGCCCAGAATGACTTGGAAAAAAGTCTGGTTCCATTGACTTACATTAAAAGTAAAGTATGTTTTTTCCTTCTCCTGTAAAGTTACTATTTTGGAGATACAAGGATTTGTTCCAACAGCAGCGATATATGGACTGGGGAGTGAACAGTACATTTTCAAAGTTTACCATCATTTACGTAGTACATTCCATAATATAGATACTTTAAATCCACACCCTTCTTATGTCAAATTGGATCTATTTCTGGTGTGTATTTTTTATGCAGAACACAGAGCTCCTGAACACGGCCGTGTTGACTGGTAAGAAGGTGTCCATACCGGTGAAGGTGCTAGGAGTGGAGGCAGATGGCTCGGTCTCAGACATCACCAACTCCAGCAGGTGCAGGTCCGCAGATGAAGACACTCTAAAGGTACAGTACATCACAGCACAGCCGCTGTCCACCGCTCTGCCAATTACACTCGCCGCGCACCACTCATTACCAGCCTAACTCTCTCCGGGTGACATCTCCATTACACCTGGCAGTGCTGAGGATGCTGGAGTCATACTGAGCTGAAGCACTGACAAGCCCCAGTGCCCAGCTCCTTATTACAGATTAGAGACTTCAGAAAGTTACTCCTGAGAAAGAAAGTGACGGACAGAGAAACACAGAGACAGAGTGACCCAGTAGCCTCTATCTGAAGCTGTGCCTTTTCTTATCCAGAGCACATCCCTGCCCCCAGGGCCTGTCTTTTCTTTGCGTGTTTATTATGAAGACCAGAGACCTTTATCCAGTTATTATTGGATCATTCTCTTGAGCCTCTCTTGCCAGAACCACAGTGCTTTAAGAGAGGGTTTAAAGCGTTTAAAGGGGTCAAATCTGAAGATGAATCTGCACTCCACTCTTTCCGTTCATTTCTGGCCCAGTGTGGCCTTAAGCACCAGACTTAGACACACACATGGAGAGAAACACAGGCTATTCACATTCTGTATTTCAGATTAACTGACTAGCCGGAACAGGGATAAGGAGACAGTGTTACAGACACACTGTACACTGTACTGTTGTTCCCCAAATTGCCAGAGAAGAGCCGAGCAGGGAACGGCTGATGGTTTTTTAATGATTATTTTGACTGAGCACAGACTAAGTGCTCTCAGTTGTTGGAGAATTTGACAGTCCCTGAAGCATTGAGAGGAAAAGAGGAGGTAACAACTGTAATACATTTACTAAATGAGACAATACAACCATATGGAGCACCCATTCCACGCCGTATTTCACTGCCTTTCACGGCTACATTAGCATAAAGCCACTAAACTCTTTCTCAGGGGCTGATGAGTTTCACACTGTGTTTTTTGTCTCCATCTTTAACAGGGTGATTTAACAATATTATGCTAATTTACCACTGTACATTATCATGCTAACAATTTCTAGCCTTTTCTAGATCATGTTAACTAGCTCTTTTCCTTCTTGTTTCTCTCAGGTGTCAGAGAGGTGTGAGAGTGTCTATATGAATGGAGAGGAGACGAGAGGCAGAGTGAGGATGATGGTCAACTTCACCTACAGCTACCTGAGTGCTCAGCTGGAGGTCAGCGTGTGGCTGCCCCATTTGCCCCTACAGATTGAAATGTCTGACCCAGAACTCAGCCAGATCAAGGGCTGGAGGGTGCCTGTCTTCGGGGCCAAGAGGTTAGACAACGTTTAGCATTTTGGCAATGCAGAATGAAAATGAAAACTAATGTATATTAATGTAACAAAAAGTTATTTCCCGTAATGTGATCTTTTCTATCGGTCCATTTATCATGAAATGTTTATATAATATCAAGGGCAGCTGTCACTTTGAAATGATGTAAAAAAAAAAAAGCTTTTCACATTACAGTGACAATATATACATATGGCCACTTTGCTAGGAACACCTGCACATCTGCTCAGTCATGCAGTTATCCAGTCAGCCAATCATGTGGCAGTAGTGCAGTGCATACAATCATACAGACACGACTCAAGAGGTGCAGTTAAAGACCCCCGCACTTAAAAATGTGTGTTTTTTTTTAAATAGTTAACTCCTCTTGGCTTATTGTGGTTATAGAGACTGATATTTGTATCAAATTGTTACCATAGCACAGAGAAAACACAGGCAGTGCATCAAAATGTGATTCCTTGTTGCAATGGGGTCAATCGTGAGGCGTGGTCTGGCAGCCGTGCTGCTACACAATAGCACCAGAAGCTAGTGGTAGCCTAGAAAGAAAGCCTAAGCAGCATTACACAAAACCACACAAATTCATTCTGGCTCACTGAAGCTTTACTGACGCAGGTTTAGAGAAGAAAGACTGCAATCTGAGCAGTGAAATCTGTGTGTTTGTATGTGGAGCTGGTAGCTTAAGATACTTTTAATTCATATGCTTGTTCGCACCAGAGGCTAAGATTAGCTTTGCAAGAAGACTAAACCACCAGCAATAAACAGCATTCATGAATCGAATGACCCTACCCGACTTGTGACAACAGTATAAGCTGGTGGTGGTGGTGTAATGGTGTGTTGATGCATATTGTTGTTCAGCATATCTGAGTATTGTTGTTGACCATGTGCATCCCTTTATGACCACAATTTACCCATCTTCTAATAGCTACTTCCAGCATGACAGTGCGCCTTGTCACGAAGCACGAGTCATCTCACATTGGTTTCATGAACATGACACTGAGTTCAGTGTACTTCATTGGCATCTGTCACCAGATCTGAATCCAGTAGAGCACCTTTGTGATGTAGTAGAAAGAGGGATATTCACAGCATGAATGTGCAGCTGACAAATCTGCATCAATTACATTGAGAAATCTTGTCAACATGGACCAGATTCTCTTAGGAATTTTTCCAACACATTGCTAAATCCATGTCAATCCCACAAAAAATTCTGTTCTGAGAGCAGAGTGGGATCCTTCCCACTATATGTTTGGAGTTCCTAATGAAGTGCTTGGTGAGTGTATATATCAGGGACAGAGCATATTCATTAACCCAAAGGTAACACAAGGTAAATGCAAGCGTTAGCCATCTGGCTTATTTTAATTTATAGTCAACAACTGTAATCAACAAAGCTGTTAAAATGATTGACGTGTGTATATATTAGATGGCTGGATTGCTGTTATTGAACTCGTATAATCAATGCTGTGCAGTGTTTAAAGCAGCATTGCGCCGAGGTAATTGCAGTGTTGTGAATGCCTAACTGATTAATCATCAGTTTAGAAAACGGCATGAAGATGTAAACATGGAAGGTCAGTCTTGCTCTTTATTCAAAAATTCACTAGCAACCGGTTTAGCTTGTATTATCTACAACAACTGTGGTCTCTGTAAAATCACAGGAATGCTTTAATTACCTCAGTATACAGTATACTGCATTATATGCAGACATTTACATTTGAATGGGGGCGTGGTTATGTGTGAATTGAATTCCTTTTGACAGAATTAGCGTACTTACTTAAGGATGTAGTACCTCGTATAAATGTTTTCTTTTACAACTACTACTAAGTGTTCATGCTAGTTAGAAAAGTTAGCGCAGAGACAATTATCTGCATGGCTCAGGTGAAGATATATATAGATATAGTATATATGTACAGAGAAGATGAGATACTGCAGCTGGGGCACTGCAAGTAGCAGAAAAAAAATGAAAAGAGTGAGAGCGAGCGAGAGAGAGCTGAAAGAGAGACAGTGTTTCTCATTTTCTCTCCTGTGTCTTGAAGAGCAAGCTGGGAAAGTGAGGAAGATGATGAGAAGAAGGGCAGAGGGTGCATGCTGCAGTACCAGCACAGCCTGGTCCGAGTGCTTACGGCCTTCGCAGCTGAGGCTCCAGGCTCGAGCGGTTCCTCTCCTGTGTACTTTCTGGGCCCTGAATGGCTGGTGGATGTGACTGGGCTGGTGCGCTACTCTTTGAAGGTGGGGGACACGAGCATAGCACGACTGCAGTCTGGAACAGTGCTGAGCGGCAGGGCTGCTGGAGTCACTACTGTACAGGTAACTGGTCCTCATGGGAGAAGGTTAAGGTTGCTTTTTTTTATTACAGTAGTGAATGAAATGTCAGTCTGTTTAGTTACTCTTTACACCAAAAGTTTGGGGGACACCTTTTAAAATGTTTTAAATAAATGAGCATGTGTGCAACAATAATAATAATAATAATAATACTATTATTAATAATAATAATAATAATAATAATAATAGTGTCTAATAATAATGTCCTTCAGCAAGACTCCTAAAACTATAATTGCTTACATCTGAATAAGAGCATTTGCCAATATATAAGCTTCACTTAAAGAGGAATTGCACTGATTTTTCAACATTTCAGCATAATTCAGTGGTTGAGGCGTAAGCAAAGTCATTCAGAGTGGTTTGAGATTAAATAGTGCTTTGTAGAAAAACATATTGACCCAGATTTCTTTACAGTGGCGCTGGTAAGAACCAGGGGTCACAATATTTACAATGCAAATATAGCCATTTTATTTAGTATCCAAAACCACCAGCGAACCTACATGTTCCTTCTGGGTTTGATGTTGATGTTGATGTTGATGATGGTAAAATAGTGTCAAATCTGAAAACATACGTTTTCTTTTGGGACATTTGAGCCTTACACCAGCTTGCATGTACCTCTCCACTGTGGATGGATTAAAAAAGACTTTTTAGGTCAAAACCTTACATCAGGACTATTGTAATTAAATGTCTCAGGCATCAGACAGTGTATTTGTAACCAATCCATGTAATAATATTCTGTGAGGTAGCTTTTAGAGGCATTAAAGTTTTCAGACATCTGCTTCCTATCCTTACAATTGTGAAAAAGTCTGACTTGTTAATTTTCTTTAGAGTAGAACATTCCACATGAGACCACTCTGAATTACTTTAGTTACATGTCAAACAATTGAGTATACAGAAATTTTGACAATTCGGTGGAATTCCCCTTGCAGTTGCCTTTACCTTACTGCAAAAGCTGGAATTGAAACAACTACAAGAAAGTACAATTTTGAGAATAATGAATTATGATACCTCACTGACACCTTGTGCAAAATCTGTTCCTCATGCCAAAGAAGACACTGTGATGTGCTTAAAGCTAAGTGTTGCAAAATTTGACTGTTTTACGTTAACAATTAAAAGTGAGGTCACTGATTTTAAGTCATAACACTTTATCATATCTGGTGAAATGCTCTTCAAATTCCAGCTGCTGGCAATGAAGTACATACTTAGAAGAAAAAAATCCAGTCTCTGTTGCTGCCCTAATGGCTGATACTGGCAGACAAATTGAGAAACAACATAAAAAAGGACGAGCTAGAGAAAAGACAAGAGTAAACATCAGTGTGGCTTTCCAGCACTGTAGAAAGCTAATGGAGTTGAAGGCCAAGAACAGTGTCACTCGGCTTTGCACGGAATACTTAATAGAGAGGCTGTGTTTGTTTGGTTGAGTTTTAAAACATCAAGCTTCAGCTAACTTCCACCAAACTCAATGACCCCACCTTTAATTTAAAAGTATCTATGATGAAATAAAGCACTACTGGATAGATCTGCTGCTGTATGTAAGCTTAGACATGCTCTTGAGAAGTAAATACAAGACCTGTTGATGCAATACGCTCAAAATCTGGTCCTGCTGTGTTTGTTTACTCTCTGGGTCAGGTGATGTCTCCTCTTACGGACGCGGTACTGGCTGAGAGGATGGTGCGGGTGCTGGATGATAAAGTGAGCGTCACGGAGCTGGGAGTGCAGCTGGTCTCGGGCCTCTCGCTGAACCTCCAGCTCAGTCCAGGCAGCAACAGGGCCATTGTGGCCACCACCACCACCCAGGACACCATGCACAACCCCAAACAGGTCATTCATCAGCGACAAAAGAATCCTGTTTCCTGCTGCAGCGATCAGAAAGGCTTTTTTTTCGGAGCATCTGGTGGCTGAGATTTTCTATCCGAATGAATATCTGCTCATAAGATTCAGAGCACGCTGAGAACTCAATAATATTCACAGATTAATAGAGTTCGCACATTTGCTGGGGCAGAATCACATTTTATGAAATGTGTCAGGGGAAACCATTAGATGCTCTAAATTCCTTTAGATGACAGCCAATTCAGATTTTGCGTTTCAGTAATACGGCCATTTGGTTGACCCAGTCAATATCAGGCTATTAGCACTCAGCGAGGGGCTTCATCCGTTTATGTGATGGGCTCTGCTAGTGCAGCTCCACAGGCTATGCATAATGTATTTCACCTCAAAATATAGGACAGCCTGTGGCGGCAGTTGTTCGTGTTAGCCGGCAGCTCTGGGTGTTCTTACTTGTTACAGTAATTACTCCGCTCGTTGCCCTCTGTTTTTTTTTTCAGCTGGATTTCTTTTTTTCTTTTTTTTCAAATAAATATTGATCAGTGCTGGGGGTTTATAGGGCAGAGATGTACTGAATTCAGAGTCTGAGTTAATCATTAAAAGATTAACATGTTCATTTCCTTGAACATGGCACTAATTAGATGGATAGATGCGTGTACTTTATTGATCCTTAAGGGGAAATTAGTTTGCAACAGTAGCCGAAGAACACGAGACATTATTTACACATAATACATACAGGCCTTTGCAAAAGTTTGGCCGCCTCTGGCCAAATTACATGTTTTGTTGATTTTCTAAGTGAAAATAAATACACATCCTGTACAGCAGGGCTTTTCAACCTTTTCCACAAGGCACACTTATTTATCACCAGAAAGCATAAAGGCCCACCATGGAAAAAAATAATAATTTACTAAAAAAGGATCTTTTATTTCTCAAGTGCTGACACAGAAACCTGAACAACAGCTTAAAGATCAGATCATCCATTTGAGTCCAATCACGGAAACCAAAATTTCATTCTTAAAAAAATAAAAATTAGAAAAGAAAAAAGGAATTTTGTGTTCAGAGCTTTGGCTCACACTTCTCTGATGTTGGCCAGTGTCCAGAAGGCGAGACCTGGTCAAGACCGAGACTGGATCAACATTTTTTCAAAATATAATGAAATGGAAGAAGGATTGAAAATTGTGTGTAGTTTTACGTGATAATAGTAGTAGTAATAATGATAATAATAATAATAATAATAATAATAATAAATGAATAATGAAACAATATTGATATAGCAACTAGTCTTAATTAAACTCCTCATTCTGATTTTTGGAAACAAATGAAAGTAAGATAAATATATTTCTTTGTTTCTTCTTGATCTTAATGTTTGCCTGTAGAGGATCTGTTAACTTATTTTTTAGGAAATCAACAACTTATGATTGTATACTTAAACATTCACACAGTGTAAAGACATCACTGTGCAAAAAAGACCAACATCAACTGAAGCATTCACATTCAGTACTGCACTACTTTATACATGTGCAGTTGTTACTAACTGTAGTAACATATAGGTCACTTTCCTAGAACTTTGTCTTTCACATTGTCCAGAATCTTCATTCTGTATGCCTCATGATGAATATGCTGAACATAGACAATCATTTCGAGCCCTTAAACGCTTTGATATGAATTTCTTTGTATTGCATCATAGGAGGCAGTGGTTGCCTGCTGGGTGAAGTTCAGCGATGGCTCTCAGACTCCACTTGACCTGTTCGATCCCAACGGCTACACGCTTACGGTCAGCTCGCTGGATAAGAAGGTGGTGTCGGTGAGGAAGGTTCCGGGCCGTGTTGTGGTGGCGGAGGCGGAGGGGCAGGGCTTGCTGCTTCGAGCCGAGCTGGCCATCTGCGAAGCCTGTCAAAAGTCCAAACGCAAGAGCAAGCTGGCCGTGGGCGCCGGCACCGTTAGGGTCAAATTCCTGTCAGCTGAGCAGCCGGCCGTGGAGAGTGGGAGGACGCAGCCTGGCATCCGAGGCGTGACTGATTATGGCAGCGATGCTGAAACTGTAGAGAGTGAACTCAGACTGAGCTTGACCTCTTCTCATGGTTTGGTCGAAATCTTCAGGAACACTATTCCTAGCATGCAAGAGAGCACCACGAGAGAGATCAACACAACGTCAACCAAGTCTAGCCTGCAAGAGGCAATCGGAGGGGCCATATCCACCATCAGAGCCGTGAACGGACTGGGGATGCCTGCTACAAAGCCTGATGTTAACAAAGCTCTTGTTACAGTTGGCCCAGCAAGTGTTTTGAGAAAGAGCTTTGGCAACCTGCTTGACCAATCAGACTTCACTTCCCGAGAAGAGGAACCTAAAGAGGATCCAACCTTGGTGGAGAGCGATTTGATGCGGACATTTGGTTTCTTCACGGACTTGGAGATCTGCATCTATTCACTGGTAGGGGTCTCCTGCTTGGCAATAATAGCCATCCTGCTTAACTGTGCCACTCACAACGCGAAGTCACGCAGTAAGAAGTCTCCAGTGCAGTGCCAAGGTCCTGATGAGCATAAGCACCATTGGGTCCGCCTGGGCACGGCTGCGGAACAGAGCAGGGCTGTGCCAATTGTGACCACGCAAGTGCCAAGCACTGCTGCAGAGATGCCAAACAGCATGGAAATGCAGAAACCCATGGAAAGGCCTACAGTTACAGAGATGCCCCGAGCAAGAGAGATGCCCACGGTGCCGTGTGAAGAGAGGACGGCCACTTTGGGCAGAAGGAGCAGCACCCTGCCCCACAGACCAGACCCTTTGGCAGTTAGGTCAGCAACTCTACTACCAAGGCCAATACGGAATGATCCGCTGCATTCTCCGACAAGCAAGAGGAACCAGGTCCAGTTTACCACCTTCACCACTCTCGACATCAAGCACTTGGCAGCGCTTAAGAGGAATGGGCAGGATTTCAACTGGGCCAGCCAAGGAGCCGGAGGTTTTAATCATGCACCGGGCGCCAGTCAAGCAATAGTAACCAATCAGGGAGGCTCGTGCAGTCTGGTTGGGGCAGCAGGTCAGGCTGGTCTATGCAGTCAGGTCAGGGCAGCCAGTCAGGCAGGCCTGTGCAGTCAGTTTGGGCCAGCCAATCAGGTAGGCGTACACTTTCAGATAGGAGGGTGCACTCAAGCAGGAGATTGCGCCGAGTCCAAAGGATTTCTCCCTGAAGCTCCATGGCCTGTAGTTAAACCAGTAGCACAGGTTTAATGAATGAATGTCTAGGTATGTGATGTATCTGATTTAATGCTAATTCAAAATATTTCCTAGAGTAATGTGAAAGTTCAGCCCTCTTTTTATTCACACATTTTTATTTATATAAATAAATTATGTAAATATATCAACTGGATTTTTCAGTGCTTTTGTACATTTGTATGGAGGAATTTAGAGATAAAGAGAATTTCAAGAAAAGCAGTTTATTAAATAATTATATTTATGACTTAGTTATTTATTTTGAAATGAGCCCTTAATGTGTGTAAAAATACAGTACTATACAAAAGTCAGAGATTACCCTTTTGTTTATTTGATTTCCAGTCAAAATGGCCATTATATACAAGTTATTCATGTTTTAGGAAACATATTGTCACTGTCTGTACAAAAACTTGAATCTCCATTTTTGACGATTTTTTTTTACATAATTTGAAAACAACAGCTGCTCTTTGCATTGTGTGAACTTTGATTAAAATCTCTTTACATTAACATACATTAAAAGTTATGACAACCAACTTCTAAGACTGAACTCCTGAAAAGAATGGAAGATGTAATAAAGGCAAAGTGTGGACACACTAAATACTGAAAAAATGACATTATATATAGTTGTTAAGGATTTTGTGTAATTTTCTGTTATTTTTTTTTTAAGCACTAAAAATGTACTTAATTTGTACTTAATGGCTGTTTGACTGGTAACTAATTGAATGAAAGGATGGTCTCTGAGTTTTGCACAGTGTTGTTATATCTTTATTGTGTGAGAAGTAAGTTGTTTTCTTGTATCATAAGTTGACTTTTTTAAAACTACAAAGTTTAAAAGTCAAATAAGTTTTGTTGTCGCAAAATCAAATAAACCGCACATTTTCAAAGCTTACATCTGTGCTGTTTTCTTTTTCAAATAAATTCAGATTCAGATTTCTTAAACTAGAGAAAAGATTGAAGATCGGCCTGTTTTGAAGAGCAGTTCTCTCCTGTTTGCCTTGTGAGTGCTGATTGTGTCCCAGTGTAGAGGAGTTTATCTCCTCTGTGACCTGTTCCGTGCCTCAGTTCATCAGTGCCTCTCTCTCTGACAGCTCAGAGTGAAAGGAGAGAAATCTCTGCTGCACACACTTCTCCATTATTCTGATAGCGCTGGAATGCAGGGCTGGGAAAAGCAACTTGTGTCCTCCACAGAAGAGAAGTATTGATAACTCTCTCCAAGCCAAAGCTGCAGGATCGCATCGTTAAATTGCATTCCGGCATCGTGGCCCAAAACAGCGCTGGCTTAGACGAGCACAGATAATCTGATGTGCTGAAACTCAAGGCTGCTGTGGATTTACCAGAGGAAGAAATGGCCTCATCTCCTGCATCTGCTGTGGGGAGATCTCCTGAGCAGCCCAAAATAATCAGTGTATCCAAAAAGTTTTTTTTCTGTTTGGCTCTTACATGGAAATTGGGTAGTGCTTTATTTCGTCTTGTACATCTTTTGCATGAGTTTAAAGGGTAATTCCTCTGATTGTTCTACACAATTTAAATTAATTAAGATGTAAAGTCATTTTGAGTGGTTTGATGTGAAATACTTCTTTGTAGATAAACTTAGGCCCAATCCCATTTCACCCCTTGTCCCTACCACTTAGCCCTTGGCCCTCTGTTTTGCACGTTCACGCCTAGGAGTAGGGTGTCCCGATTTTTGTTGAGATAGATGGCAAAGTGTTAGGCCTGAAACATACTTTACGCAAGGACGCGAACGCAAATGACAGTGCTCGGCCAAAGCACTGCAAACGCTTTGTCCTTCTGTACAAACTCACTGCATAAGAAACGTTGCTGTGGAAGTTAAAACACTCTGAAGGGGGTGATAGAGTACAAATCAGAGAGGGATCTACTGTTATTCCAACAGCCTCAACAGCTAAATGTGGACATTAGAGGAGAGTGAGCTTTACCTCTTCACTTGGATTGGAAATGTGATAATCATATTTTTATGCCATCTTTGGGTGAGACTCAACTGCTCGTCTGCTATGGCAGTTGAAAAAGCACACTGGTTGTACAAGACCGCTTGGTCAGGCAAGCGCCCCTTGCTGTAACGCTCAAAGTTTAGCTTGCACTTGTTGTTAGATTGTATTATCTTAGTTTAATGTTGTTTTAATGTATTATGGTCCTTTTCTTCACAACAAACACAAAAAATCGCTAGTAGTATGCTAATATCTCTGTAGCTGGCTAGCTAAATTTCTCATTACACCTTAAATAATCCAGCAGTACTGACGCCTGAGGTGGCAGAATGTAATTGCTACGCCTTTTAAGGTGGGACAGGAAAAATCGGACAAGAAGCTGGTGAATAGCTGACTTCAGCTTCATATGACCGAAGAATTAGGGGTGGGCAATAATAAATAATTGTCATATTGCCCCCCTCTTTGAAGGTATATGTTGCCCTAAATGTAACTAAAGCCCAGCAGTGAGGTTGCTGAACTTTACCCTCCTTTACTGTCACTGCAGACTGGCAGGGTTGCCTGCAGAGCACCACTAGTAGCCTGTTAATGAAGTGATTTTCTTTTTTATTTGAGGGACCCATTTCATAGGGGAAGATTTCAACCACTACCCCTTGTAAAGAGGCCAGGTGACACTTGAAAACAAGCGGTAGGGGTAAAAATAAGAAATGGGATTAGGCCTTAATGTGTCAGAATTGTTCACAGTGGTGGTAATGGGAACCAGACATCTGAAGAGTTTAACGCCTCTAAAAGCTCCCTCACAGACGGGCTTGGGATGTAACAGAATACAAGTGTTAAATAATACATATTCAGACTACAGAAATGAAATGTCTGTGTTCAGTCCAATGATCTAAGTTACATTTGTTCAGAATACAGTTACCTTTTACATTTTTATGAGAATACTTTACAAATACCTACCCACTACATAAAAGAAAATAAATGTAAAACAATTTTTAAATAAAAAAAATTAATGATTTTAAAATCTGCTTGCGGTGGGTAGCAAATATTAGACAAACTCTAGAGTGTACTCAATGGCTTCTTTATAAACACTGAACTGCTAAAGCCTGAGTAGACTGATAAATCAAGGTGATGATCAGTTATTAATTACTGAGCATTACTGAGCTCCTCAGAGGGATGATCAAACTAACAGTCTCTTATGTAGTGGACATGTCTGCAACTGATAAGCTTAACGTTAGTGTTGTACTGGATACTGGGATTGTGGGAGTGGCGGTGAGAGAAAAAAAACTTCAGAATTTTTTGAACATCATTTAAATGGTAAGCACATTTTTCATGAAATGTATAAACAGTGAACTATAAATGGTTATATTTGTGTTGTAGACATTGTGACCCCTGGTTCCTGTCACCACCACTCTAAAAAAATCTAAGTTGGTAAGTCTCTCTACAATGAACCACCTCACATCAAACCACTCTGAATGACTTTGTTTACATCTTATCAACTGAATTATGCAGAAATTTATGAAAAGTCAGTGGAATTCCCCTTTAAAGTAACTTACGTGAAACCTTAGAGAAGCACTTATTGCCATAATCCAACAATTACTCATTCCTATGACCACTTCCAATACTGTGTGCTTTAGCACTCCGTCTTGTGTATTTTTAAATAATTATCTGGTAATTACTATTAATTACCATGTAATTACATATTCAATTTGCAAACTTGGCACTGAGTACTACATGTAAGAACAACACGGTAACCTATTCTGAGCAATTATTGCATTGCAGCACTAAGTACCTCTGTACATACCTGTGAAGTGCACCAGTTATGTACTTTAATGTTCAACACACAAAGTTTGTATCTGATATTACTTGTAATTAATACATGTTTATGTATGAAATACACTCCTAAACATAAACATGGCAAGAAAAGTTTTTTTGTGCAAAGCTATAAAAGAACCACATTTAGTTCCCTAAAGAACCTTAACATGGATAGTTCTTCTGAGAACCAGTTTTGTAATTGAGATGTGTGAGTATGAAGAACCTTTTTTAAGTTTTACGAACTTCCACATATGGTAAAGGTTCTAGGATGAACCTCTTAATTGGTATAGAACATTTACACTATGTGCAGGTTCTTTAAACTTTTAAAAGGTTCTTCACACTTACAGATGAAATGGTTCTTTAGGGAACCAAAAGTGGACCTTCATTTTTAAGAATATAAAATGTGTTACCAGAAAAAGTCATTTAGAATCAGTCAGTGAAATAATCTAGAGAATTGTCAACATGTATTCATTCAAAGAAACCTTACTTCAGACCTGATTTTGAAGCTGGAGTCCCGGAATGCAATTCCACCCTAAAATATCAGCAGTAAATAATGCCGTGTCAATAAAGATTTGTGTTCCTTGAACATAATGATCCAAGAAAGAAAAACAGAATGTTAGAAACAGGCTCAGGTTTTAGGAGGAAATGACTGACTCTGCTGCCACTATCATCATCATCAGTGACCTCTTAATCTTCAGCATCAGATATTCTATTGACAGATTTAAGGGATTGAGGTCATTGTGTTGCCGGATTAACGTGCATTAGTAGACCAACCCCCACCAACACACACACACACACACACACACACACACACACAGAGCCTATGCCTCGCAAAGTGGGCCAAAGCAAAAACCCCTTCTCTTCCTTTCACTCTAAGTCAGTATATGATCAGTGTGTCTGTTTATATTTACTGCAAATGCGAGTTCAGTAGATTTATTTACAGGGAGGTTTAAGGTTTGCGTGCAGACTGCTCATCACCAACACACACAGCTGCCCTTCCAGGCCTTACAATATGAGCCAAAGGCAAAATCCCCTTCTCTGGTTTTCACTGATGTACTGTAAAGAATTGTAATTTTACTGTAAATATTTAAAATACTGCTTAGGTCAATTTTGTACATTTTATTTATGATGCTTGGGGTGGGTGTATGTACCAAAAATAGTCGACTGACCTGTATTGTGCCTCATTAAAAAAAAAAAGAAGAAGAAAAAACAGTCCAGGCTGAAACATTCATTCTAACTAAATTTCTGTAGGCTGAATAGGCAAATGTA